TCTTGTGAAAACAATTATGAAACTATATAACTATTCTTTAGAAGGAAAGAAAAAATAAGATTAAATTCTTTCGAAATACAGTGTACTATCATTTATTTATTATTATTTTAATTGTAATAGAAAAATATAATAGAATACTATAAAGAGAACGGGTAATAGTATTGATAATAAAAAAAAAGTTACATAATAATTTTTCTTTTTTTTCTCTTTTTTTTTTCAAACAACCCGATCGAATCGACTAGTTCCAAAGTTGATTTCGATTCGACTGCCGTGGCCAATATTTGACTTTGCCTTCGTGTAACGAACTGGATTGACTATTTAATTTCACGATCGGTAATAAAAGTCAGGTAAAACATTTGCAACTACGAAGACAATTTTTTTTCTCGAGCCAATATTATACAAATTTCTATGGTAGTCAATTTTGTTCCTTTTTTTGGGAAATATTTCATCGTGTACGTTGCCGTTTTTTTTTTGTTTTTTCTTTATTTTTTTTCATTTATTTATTTACTTATTTATTATAGATTATTCTGATCTTCACATGATCCAATGCAACTCGCGTTTTCAGTCGTCACGGACGAAATGTCGAGAAATGAAATTCGCGATGGGAAACCTCGGTTTGAAAGTAACTTCGGTACGTTGCTAAGACCGTTGCATAAATCCGTTTCAGTTGAGAGAAAACTGGGGGAATTAGGGTGGGGGGAGGAGGGTCGGGAGGATTGAAAGATAAAATAAAAGGAACGAAGAAAAGAAAACGATAGGAGAAGAATTACGAAGATTCGAATTCGTGATGCTATTTCAAAGTGATATGTATAATACATATGTAAGATGATGTGCATACACTTACTTCTTTGAACTTTGATATTTCGATAAAACGATTATGGTTTATATAAGAATTACATTGAAATTTTTATTTTGTAACGTTTATTATTATGATGAATAATCGTTCGAACACACATCAAAAATCGATTCAAAACTCACGCAAGCTTTATAATTTTAATGTATTTATTATATTATTCAATTCATTTTTATATATATATATATATATATAATTATCCCGCGAAATTACTTTTATACGACAATGATTTGAATTTATTTTCAGAAACAATTAAAACTTAATCGTAACTTTATTCCATTTTATGTAGAATTTTGTATTCAGGTTACTTTCATGAATTAAACTGTGACCCAAATGTATAACAAATGATAGAGGAAGGAAATAGAAAGTAATTTTTATAGACGTGTACATTGTTGTAGAGATCGATAGATCAAGGTGTTAGGAAGAGAGTAGATTGTGAATTACACGTGCATCGTATGTTTTGCAAGTGTGACAGTAGGTCAAGTGCGCGGTGAATGGCCGGAGGAGAGGCCTCAAAGACCGGAGACGATACTACTACGCTCGAGTTGTTTTCCTCGTTAAAGTAAGGAACAATCTTTTTCTTCTCATTTCTCCGTTTGTTCGATCAAACTTTTATTACGCGATCTTACGAATTTAATTACATAGAATATTATTAGAAAATTATACAGAAAATATCCAAAAGATCTTCTTACAACTGAACCCCAACAGAATTCTTTCTTACCTATCGTCAAAATGTATATTACATTAATTGATAAAATAATCTGCCGAATGTTTATCATGAACTAATTGCAAAGAGAAAAATTCGAGATTAAAGAGAACAACGTTTTATTCGTTTGACTGAAAAAAAAAACAAAAGGAAGATAAAATAATGGCATACTCCTTTATTTTACAGGAGGAAATAAAAAGAAAAAGAACATAATATAACACCAAAGTTGAAAATATGTATTCACGAATCATAGAATTCACGCGTTTGATTGCACAACTGTGAAGTAGGAAGCTCCCGTTTAAATGTCGTTTCCTTCGGCATAGTGTAAAAGAAGGAAGAGACATTTGTAAACAGTAATGAATGTAAATACGTAGTACTTCGGACGTTGTAACTCTTTTCTCAGCTAGTTTGCTATTACTTTTAACAAAAGGATAGAAAGACATTGTCTTATTTAATCGTATCTGTAGAAACTGACATTTTCCTAGGTCTCTTATTCGTATATGTATGCGTGCACTACGTATATATTTATATCGTCGTCTCTTGCAACTTTGAAATGAAAAGAAGGGAAGAGAAAGATAGAGAAGAAGAAGAAAAAAAGAAAAAAAAAGGAGAAAGAAACAAAGTGGAGCAAGGAACGAGGAACGAGAACGTTCTCGTGAGAACGAACGAATGAACGAACGAACGTTCGAAGGAAGAAGGGTCGTGCTGAATTACGATGGCTCTTGATAAATCGCTCGTTTAAAGTTTAGACGAAGTTTAGAGCGAGTATTAGGTTAACGGTAAAGTTTCCTTGCGCGAACTTCGGACCCTTCGAGAAATTTTCCTTCACTGGTTATAAACAGAAAGTATGTGTCGTCGTTGAATGAATTCTCTCAACAGATCTAGGTGACATTTACTTGTACATTACTTTTCATATTATTAATAATTATCTTTATTTTGTTATTATTATTATCATTGAAACGATATATATCATTTTTTCAAATGGTGTGATCTTTCTTTTTTATTCATTTTCATAAGATTAATTCTTCGTCGATTTGAAATGAATAAAACGTGTCGTTAATTATTTAGAAATTATTATTATTATTATTATTATGTCCCCAATTAAATTATATTATATTTATTTAACGATAATAGAAAGAGAGAGATGTATTTTATTTCGTGATAATAAAAAATTAATGACAACTATATACACGTTGGTTTGGTATTGACCGACAAATCTTTTAATAACTTCCTTCCGTCATTATTTCGCGCGAATTCATTGACTCTTTCCGGTGACAGGTAAATGCATCCCGTTCTCATTACTCGAACTACTTTCTACGCAAGATCGAGGATACACACAAGAACCTCGATCATTCCCTACGTTTCACCATCAACGATTCTTCTAAAGATTAATGACCTCGAACTAGTATACGAAGACTAACACTCGATTTGATGAGAAGGAAAATTCGAAAAACGAGTCTTTAATGACGAGTTGTCGTACGATAGATCACGAATCTCGAATGATTGCAATTTTAATCTGTCGTTTATAAATTACCAAGAGACATATTTATAATTACAAAAATGAAACGTAATAAATGAAAATAATTTGGAAAGAACTGTAAATGTAATCATTATAATATCTATAATAAAAAATAATTACAAAATAAATGTATAAATAAAAGAACGATTATTAAAAATAATAAAATGACTTTTTAAAAAGTTAGGCAAACGTATATGTATATGATGATGTTCTATGTTGAGTTTGCACAAATGAAGGACGGAAGAATAAAACCGAGATAGTAGTCTCTTCTTACGTTTACTACTACCCCTTAATTGCTATCTAATTTCATTAGCAAGATTCTTAAAATATAACGGAGTAGATACGAAGCACCTTATAGCATCGTAAAAACATCCGGGACGTACGTTTCTATGTGCCAGAACATTCAACGCGCTTTCTTTTGTAGAAAATGTAACAGAAGTAAATGTAATACGAGTTGCTCTCTTCGAAAGTCAATTTCTCTCGATATACAAAACCAACGGGAAAGATTAAAAAATTGACTTTTCAACGATGTTTAATAATTAATCGTATAATATATATAAAAAAAAAACAATATTCATTTTAATCAATTTAAAAGTTAATAATAATATTCGATATTAATTTTATTACGTTATTAAATTGCATTATGCAATCGTATCAAATATTAACGATACTTTTTATTATATTTTATAAAATATTACGTTGTGTGTGTGTGGATTTATTCAATACAATATTGAATTGCATTTATTTAACAGAAATTCAATTTTATATATACATATATTTATTTATTCTCTGTTTGGAAAAAAGAACCGTAACGGATTTATTAATGGGATTATCGTACGAAATGAAAAGAAAAAAAAAAAGTACCTCGTACGCATGATTAAGTTGCAATTTTACGTAATAATAACTACGCATGAGTTATCGTTAAATCGATTATCATTTTACGGTTAGTATGAATTTATGCGCTTGGATGTTTTTTCTTTTTTTTTTTTGTAATTTTCTTTCCATCGTTTGAATTTTCCTTCGTCTCATTTCGATATCATTAACCTTTCCCCCCCCCTCCCCCCGGATATTATTTACTATATGGAAAGAAGAAGAGTTTTGAACCCACGCCTCGTTAATTTAATGCATCAACCTTTTCGCGTGTTTTCTTTTTTTTCTTTTAGTTCGTAAGGAGAAAACAGCGTGAATATCAATCGAATTTTGTTGTAACCTAATTTTCAGTCCGCCGGAGTTGTGGAACATCGTTTAGAATGCAACCGACAGAAATACGTCCTTTCTATCCTATACTTTCTTTCCTTTCCTCCTTGAGAAATCAACGAGGAAGAAAATGAAATATGGTCGAAACGATACTACTACTTATCTTGTTTTACAGATTTACGAGATACTCAATGGCCATTTGCCAGAAATTCACCTGTTATGTAAGAATCGAAACGTGCCTAAGTAGTTTGATGAGATTTCGAATAGTCAGTCGTAAATACACACGCGGAGAAAAAAAAAAACAAATCTATAATGTGTATGTTTAAATGAATCGACGAAAATGTTTTTTATTATTGTTAATTCATTTCTCTTAAAAATTATTACTTAACGATCCAAATTAAAATATATTAATTCGTTAGTAAAATCATGCGGTAGGAAAAATTTTTTATGTGTATATAGAAAAATTGTGAATTGAAAGGAAAAAAAAAAAAAAAGGAAAACGAACGCCAATGATTATTTTCAAAAGAAATTTAATAACGAGTTCGCGTGTGATAATATGATCTCTCGCGAAAGTTTCGGTTTAATTACTTACAGTTGTGTATGTGTGTTTTGTATTAATTTACGATTAGTTAGATCGTTAATGCTAAAATATATGAAAGTAACACTATTAATGTAGTGTAATAATATTATTGATTTTCGATAAAATTCAATATAATTGAACTCACAAGGTGCTTTGAGCTTTTCCTTAGCACTTCTGATACCCGCGTTTGATCTCAATGCTAGTCCAATGTTTTTCGTTGATTTACCAACGGAATTTTCCGTAATACCTGGAGGTGATATTATCGAGATTCCACCTTGTTCCATGTTGATCAAACTTATTATTTAATTAACTGATATTCAAACTCTATATCCGGATCACTGAAAGCACAGATAAATTTTTATTAACTTTTCGTTAATTATTTGCTTTTCTTTTGTGTGTTTTATATATATACCTAATTTTTGAATTTCAACAATGAACAGAATATTTATCGTCAGTTAAAAATGACAGAAATACTTTTACTTTTTTTTTTTTTTTTTTTGAAAATAGAAATTTTCCTTTAATCAATATCATGTATAGTTACATACGTGTTAGTGTTGTGTACACTGCATTTTCTATCATAGCTTTATTATCATCAAAGTCTTACTTCGACTAACATAAACGACTAAATCAAAGTGAAATACGACTACTCTTATTATGCATATATTTATATAAATACACCCTATGATTTCTTATCTTTCAAAGCAAAAGTAAATTACAAGTGAATCTATTTTTGTTTCTATCTAGAAATGCAGCTAGATCAAATATAAAAACGTATTTATAAAGGTATATATAGTGGTTATCATTAAAACATGAATCTCAGAGGAAACATATTAATTTATTCGCATTTTAATAACGTTGACGTGTATATTTGTCAAAAAAAAAAGAAAAAGAAAAGATAAGAAATTAACAAGCGAATTTTCGTTCATATTCGTTATATCAACTTTTACTCTGATTATTACCGATAATTACCATCTATGTAATCATTACCAGAAAACGAAGTTTGTAAAAAAGAAATTAAAATAAAAGATATTCAAAAAGAGAGACGCGAATTTTAATACGATACGGTATTTACTTAAGTATATAGAAAATAAAAAGGAAAGAAGGAGATAGAAAAAATATCAGATATTACACAGTGACGAGTGCAAACACGGAATAATAAATCGATAACGAGCTTACCGTTGAACGAGCCGCTTCTTATTACGAAGATTTCGATGCGAGCAAAAAGAACAAACAGAAAAAAAAATAAACAACTTCTCTCGAGTTGATAATAATGTTTATCCGATTATTGAAAAATAATTAAAAAAAATTTCAATTAACAAAAAAATCAAATAATAATAATAATAAAAGGAAATATAAAATGTTAATTTTCAACACGACACTCTCGAAGAAACCAAAAATATGCAATGAAATGAAATTTTGCTGACACTTTTTTCTTATTTTTTGTTGTTGTTTTCTTTTTCTTTTTCTTTTTGTTAATTCTTATTTGAAAAAGATACACAAGGTTGATCTTTTATTCCACGCTGGTTTCGATGAGACTGAATCGTTTCGCGAGTTGAGCGCACCTCTATATGTAGAAAACCCTCCACTGCCAACGACAGACGGTCTCCCGTTACATGGCCAATCTACGTTTCTTCGTATTCGTTGGTTACCTGCAACCGAACGAATATACCAAAGAGAAAGAGAGAAAGAAACGAGAGAACGCACGAAGGCATCTGCCAAAATGTATTATAACATTTCGACTCTCCGACCCTATTTCAAATTTGATGAAAGAAAAACAAGCAGGTTGTGCTATTTCTAACTTATTCCTTAATGTGTTCTATTTAATCTTATTCAAAATTAGAATATACCGTTATATTTATGTTATTACACAATACATAGAATATTTAAATGAAACATCGTAATAAATGGGATATAAATAAACGGGGAAATTATTGACAGAAAAAAAGAGTAAAACAAAAGAAAATGTGATAAATAATGTTTGAAGAGATGATAGGAAGAAATTGGTTAATAAAAATCATTCTATTGTGTATATATATATGGATATATTACTTACGTATATACATGGATTATTTACGTTGCACATAAAATAATGCGTAATTACAAATAATTACTCTTTACTTGTGCATATCGAGCGCCACGGTGCTTTGTTTTGTCTTCTGAAAGACATACGATCCTGTTTGTGGCATTTATCAGCGTATTATCGTTACCGATCGATAAAACTGTAATATGTTTGTCCTCGAGAAAATTACGTTTGTGGGAGGTTGATCTTCGTTTAAAAAAAAAAAAAAAAAACGACATCAAATTTTTCTTAATCTTCGTGCTTGATTTTAATCGTACGTAAGTAAGCAAAAATAACTCACGATATTTATTATTAAGTTTGTGGATAACCTAGGTTGAAAAAAAAAGAAAAAATCTCTAAGTTAAAATAAATTGTTCGTAAAAAAAAAAAAAAAATACGTCGAATAATATATAATTACGAAACAACGTGAATATTCGTTTTATTTTCATCTTCGTTTGTATAACTTCCTTAATTAAGTATCCATTTATTTCTTATTTAAAAACTTTTTCTTCTCGAACATTTGTTTTTTTTTTTCTTTTTTTTTAAACAATAAGAGATATCCCCTTATATCTTTCTCTCCTTTAAATTCCCATCATACTTTCAGTTGAATCGATGAAATTATCCTTTGATAGGAACATAGTTCTATGAAGTAATCGAGCAACCAACACCGCGAAGAAGCCCTTTATTATTAACTAACCACATTTTGCATAACATTTTCGTGGCCGCTTCAGGTCGATGACTTCACGAGCTCTCTCAAATACGCTCGTTGCATACTCACCAAAAAGGAAAAGGAAAAGGAAGAGAAAGAGAGAGAGAGAGAGAGAGAGAAGAGAGAGAGAGAGAGAGAGAGAGAGAGAGAGAGAGAAAGAGAGAACTTTCTCGATGTTTCATCGGGAGCTCCACGATGCGAGAATCCGATCGAGGTAAGCAGCTACTTGAAAATGGAAAGAGGTTAGAATTTCAAATTGTCTGATCGACTTTTCTTCGTGATTTTTTTTCCTTTTTTTTTCTTTTTTTTTTTTCCCCTTTACAAATTTCATTTCATTTCATTTCAATTCGTTGGTTATTGTAATTTTTGAAAGATAAAATCTATACCAAAATATATGATTTAAGTATAGTTCATATAGAATTTTATGGTGATTATTATTTAGAGGGATTAAGGGGCACACCTAGTGTGACCGCCTAAAAAAAAGGTGATTTTTAGAAATTTTTTTAAAGAAAACTACTGAATGAAATATTTTAAAATTTATAGGATATATTTATACATAATTAAAGAATATTCAATAAAATTTTCAAATAAAAAAAGGTAATTTTCAGCGAGTTATTCGCTATCCCCTAAGTCACTATAAAAAAAAGGGCCTAAACGGCTGCAGTGATTCCGGCCTTCACTGTGGATGAAATAAAAAAAAAAATACTGTTAATCTAGAAAGTATTGCTTATACAATGACCTAAAATTGTGAAAAAAAAATTAAAATTTAACAAAATGACAGACTTTTTAAAAAGAAATCGAATTTTGCTCAAAATTTTGTTGATTTTTGGTACGGCAAAATTACATTTTTTATACAATCGTAAAACTTTTAGGTCATTGTACAGAGAAACATATAGGAAATAAGCAGAAAAAAAAATCAAAGCGATTGGATGATTCTTCTTCGAGTTACAACTGCAGCCAATTTGAAAAATGTAGTTTTGAGAAAAACGCGGTCAAAGATAAAATGATTGCTTTCTAATCCCTAAGCGTCTACTCTTTAGAAGGCTGTAACTCTAAAACTATTTAAAAATTTAGTATGTTATTTTTAAAGATACAGACTATCAAAATATGCACACACAAATAAATCAATTTTTTCAAAATTTCACACTTGGTGTGCCCCTTAAGATGTTACCTGAGCGTTGGTCACAAGTAGTTGAAAACAACGACGATTATATATCGTTGATTAAATTGTTTTGTTTTATTTCAATAAATTAGTTTTCAAAATGTATTGGGTAAAAACGACATTAATTATTACTAGACCTGATATTTAAGATGAAATTATTCGAAAAGTCGATTAGCGTAGCAAAGTATAAAAAGACTTCTTAGGCTCCGTTCTATTTAATCTATCTACTATGGCAGAAAAATAAGAAAAGGAAGAAGAGAATAAGTAGCGAACTGGTTCACTGTCAAGTAACATGCTCGTGACGGGAACAAATCGCCTTCCTGAATGTCGACGACCGAGAAAACTGAACTCGATTCTATACAGGGAATAACAGGGAAAAGGGAAACGAGATTTCTTATGAAAGTGGAAGCGAATTCTTTAATAAAAACATTGAGAAATGAAACGAAAAGAAAATAAAATAAAATAAAATAAAATAAAGAAAGGGAAAGGAAATTTTTCTTTGTCTTACATTCCTCGTTATTAATCATTTAATTAATATATTTCAGTAGAGAAATATACTTTGTACAAAGCCTGTTGTTCGAGGTAAATATAAATCTGCTACGTCATATCTTATAATAACCGTTATTATGAATCGTTCATTAGAAAATAACACTAATAAACAAAGCAAATATCAAAGTAATACGATAGTATAGAATTTATATGAATATGTAATTGCACGTAACGATTTTACCGTGTAATCGTTAATAAATAGTAATAAAAAAAAAAGAAGAAGAAAAAAAAACATCTAATTTATTCGAGTTATCGTATATTAGATGCGTTCGTAACTTATCCACGATTGTTAATGTCGATTGTATCGAATTTTAATTATAAACGAGGAAGTGAAAGGTATTTTATTTAGTAAAGAGTTTGAAACATATTTATATAAAGCATTGTGTATTATTATTATTATTATAATAATTACGAATTCTTTTTTTTTTCAACTTCGCTTGTGTTTTGCAGATAATCGTGTTGTTATTATGTACTATGTAACTCTATGATTATTACTTATATTTTATTTATACCTAAGTGTTTTCACTTTTATCGAATATCAGACAGATTTAAATTCTTAACGAGATAGTTAAGCAACACGAGTCATCGAGCAATCTTTTAATCATAGTTAACCAAGTCAAAGTTGAATCTAGTTATATAGATGTTTCGAGTCACTTACATCGTACAGAGGGTCTCGAGAGTGCAAACTCGTTCATTATAAACCCCAACCTCAACTTTAGAATATATTCAATCTGACAGGATTAGTAAATTCTTCGAAAAAGTAATACAAAACGTTTAAGTATTCATATACGTTATTCATTATTAATATATGCCAGGTATTATTATATTTTATTACTACGTCTAGATATTTTTATTTATATATATATATTATATATATATATATATTAGGGTGGTCCTTAACAGGGGTGTTTTCAAATTTCTTGGCTCCCAGGGGCTCAAAAGCTTCCAAATCTATAAAAAAAAATTCTCTGAAAATTTGAGCTCTTAATATCAACTCTAAGATAGTCCAAATTCCAACCTAAGTTTCTTATGGAAATAATATGAGAGAAATTTCCTTCGTTATTGAGAATTTTATTATTACGGAATAAATGGATCTATCATGATGAATCATACATATTTTCATGGAGAATTTAACACTCTACAAAAAAGGTCTCTTATAATTTTTCGCTAAATCTATTAGTTTACAAGTTATGTGAGCTTAAAGTTTAATTTTTATGTAACTATTAATATCATTAAGTATGATTATTAAGTAAATAATTATATAT